GGTGGTGGGGTAGATAAAACAGGTCGCTTCCTCCATACATTAAAAGGACCAGTCCATTCAGTAGGGGTCAAGATGGATTGATTTTAAATTGCCAACTGGTATGTGTCTATTTAAATACATTTTAACCCACTTTTCCAAAGAAATTATGCATTTCCATTGACTTTTATATAAATCGTTAAAAACAGATTTGCATCTAGTCTTCACACACTAGATTTGATGCGTCTTTCACCACCAGGAACAGTATGCTATAACTACACACATTTATTTAACCAATTACCTGGATTTTCAGATTTATCCATTTTTCATTTTAGTAGATTAGTAAATGGTGTATGGTATTGTGCCATACACAATGGGCAGCTGGGCCAAGGAGCTGCCTATGTCTTGTCCTCAGTAACACAGTCTTCATGTCTCCTACACTTTTTAAACCCTAAGTATGGTTCTTGACCTATTGTACGACACTTAAAGCTTGGCCTCAAAAGTTGAGCATCTTTGCTCTCCAATTCATTCATGATATAGAAAAGTATGCAGCCTGTAAATTTGATAGAAGCTTGCAGATTCAGCAATTTTTCATTTAAATTAATTAAGCAGATACAGCATGTTTAGGCCTGACAATTTTTGTATTAAATCAGGATTTAATTTTGAACAGATTTATTTTTGAGAGAGAGGCAGTGATTTTTAATCAACCCCAATGGGGGTGGAAGGAAAACTAGGGAAGATCCAAAAGAATGTTTAACCTCTGCTCTGTAGTAATTCTTAACAAAGAACCAACTATTTTACACACTCTTATTATGTATCTCTAGACTCCAATGTTTTTTTTTAATATCTGTTTTGATTAGCCCAGATGTGCTTCTGAAACGCTTACTCTGTCCCTTGAAAACTTTTCAAAACTATTGGTAGTAGAGTCATGAGAGCTTACCAATGGAGAGATTCTAAATCTATGTGGAGCATCTAGTGACTTCATATTGCAATAAATAGCAGGCTGTTTAGATCCTCAAAATCAAAACTGACCAGGGAATGAGGGCTGACAAGCCTTCAACAAAGCTGTTGTATGTAAAGTATCAGGAGAATAAATATATCAATTTCAAATCTAATACTGGGGTTTGTTTGTTTGTTAGGTGCTACGAGTGCTGGATCCAGCTACATGTACAGAAACACCACCAGAAGTTCCCTTCTCTGAGTCCTCCCCATCTTCCTTCCTTTCCACAAAGAAGAACATTGGACGGTTTCACCCATACACCAGATATGAAAACATAACATTCAATTGCTGCAATCACTGCCAGGGTGAACTGATAGCTCTTTAAGTCTCACAGTGCTTGAGAATAAAGCCCATGTACTTGCAAATATGCTGTATCTTCCCATGAACAATACTATTTTCCATTCTTTGCTATGCCTTTCCTGGGGATGACTTTCTTATACTAGATATAAGTTTACACTTCTGTATCTCTAATGCTTAAGGACCATGTACACTACACTCTGGGATATTTTTTTTCCCAGAGCTGGAATATAGTCAATACAATTTGTGCCTATCTACAAAGGCTATAAAGCATTACAACAAAAAAATTCCAGTGTAGGTAGGCCCTTAGCTGTATAAGATCAGTTGTTATGTTATGCAATATTAATGGATTTCTGCTCAGGGCAAGACAAAACATGAAGCTATTTAAGAAGAATAACCAGCAAGTTTCCCATTTGGAACTTTTGGATGGTGCTTCTCTTTAAAAATAAGCTGGATGTGTGTTAACTGGAGAAACGTCAAGTTGTGGCAGCATTTTCAGCTGAAAAGGCATTGGAATACACAATCAGTTCCATGCTTTATTTATTTTTCTCTATACTATATGACAGACTTTTCTGGGATGCTGTGTTTTTATTCTAGTAACTGAGTTACAAAAGCAGGTGCAATGACATCAGTATTCTGAATTTTTATCCTGAAGCCTGTCAAAAAACCCCCCAAACAACAACTTGAACTCTACGTACGATATTTAAAAAGGATTTTTTGTTGAATGGAATGTGGAAGCTTGAGAGTGCGGTGAGGTTATTTATGTTTGCACAAGGTTGAAACAAGGGGATAGAACCTTTGTTTTAACTTACAGAACCAAACTACTGTATAGCTGATGCAAAAATAGGGCAGTGGCTCTAGTGCATTATCTCTGAAAACCAAAATGTATCCTATTCCTAGATCCCAGTTCATTCTCAACCTCTTCCCTGTGTACAGCACCTCTGAAAAGGATGAGGATCAGGTACTACATGTGGATAGGCAGTAGAAGAATAGTTTTTACTTACCTGACTTCAGTGTGATTGAAGCAAGTTGAAATACAGCCAGAGAAGATTTATTTTGGCATTCCATTCAACCAAATTAGTTGAGAGTTGAAGGGTGCAAATCCATCATCACATGAAGGCACTTAAGAGTCTTACTCGTAGAATAATCTATGCAGATAGTTTACAGACCTCTAGTATCCTGCCATTCACAAGAGGCATAACATACATGCCCTGTGTATGTAATTAAAGAAGAGGTTTCCAAAACAGTCATTAATGTTTATCTGGTAAATCTTGTACCATGTATAGGGAATGTAAGTTTTACTTTCCTGTCTGCTACTGTTGGCCATGCTTTGGCCTGTGCAATGACAATTTTGCAATAAACCTCCTTTGCACATTATTTTTAGCAGTTTTACCTGAATCTTTGATACTACGTTCTTTGCAAGAAAAGGGAAGTATGTGGCATACAAGAAATGCAGAATTAATTCAGCTCTCATATTTCTCAAAGACTAGCTAATAGGCATGTTCTTATGTTCCCTGCTGGACCCTCCTCCCTTTCTGGAATGGAATAAGAGATTCCCATTGAGAACAGTCTACTAAGCTATTTTAGAAAAACTAGTAAAAATGCTTCTAGTCAGCAAAAGATTTTGGAATGTTTTACTAATAAGAATATACAAATTAACAAAATAGCTCACTCTTCTAGCCTAGAAATGGACTAACTGAAGCTGGGCTGGACATGGAATAAACAGGCTCCTTGCAAGTCTGGCTAGATCCATAAAGCAACTTGAGTATCTAAATCCACATTTTTTACATATCCCCTTCCTCACTCCACCCCTTTGTAAAAATGTGTCTTGTTTATTCACCTGACTTCTCCAGGGGGATCTGAGCAGTTTAGACAGCCCTTTCCTCTGCATGCTAGCTTCTAGGCACCCACTTGCAGATGCCCAATTCTCACCTTTGTGATTAGGTTTCCTCTGTTTGGCCTGTAGATTCCACTAGGTGGCAGAGCACCTAAGCACTAGGCATTGCAATGCTAAACGTAAGAGCCCACTGTCCACTGCCAGTGCAATGATAAATTATGTCAAGCACATATAGTTACTGCAGAACCTCTGAACAATATCGAAAGGAAATTAAAAACTACAGGAGAGGGGAATGCAGTCTATAGGAGCAATGTGGAACAGCCTTTCCCCTGAATAAGCCAAGAAAAAGTCTACAGCTGTGGAGCGTAACAGATTAGCAAGGATCCAGGTTTTCCATTTCCTACAGAAAAGTGTGGCTTTTCCCTTTTAAAGGAGAAAAACCCAGGAAAATACAGGTTTTCCCTTGCAGGCTGGGGTGTTCCAGCCTGTAAGGGCCTGCAGGAGCAGGCAGAGGGTGATCTGACATGGGGTGCCATGTATATATGTGTGTGTGCACACACAGGTGCACGTACCTGGCAATACAGCCATGCAGTGTGGTGGAAAACAGCTCCCTGCAGGTAAATCTATGGTGGGGAGAAATAGGTGACACATGGGAAGATGATTAAGGCAGCAGCTTGTGCCAAGCCTGCAGTGAGGGAGGGACTGGGGCAGGGCATGAGCCAGAGCAGGCAGAAATGTGCAGCCACATGGCCCGGTTGGGAAACAGGACAGAGCCAAGGGCAGTCCATCCTGGGGAGGGATGGGGGTGGGCCTCATGGTTCCCTACTGCTATGCACACTTGCAGGGAGGGGTCAGGCCTATAGGTGGTGTGGCAGGAGCGGTGGGGCACACTGCTGCCATGGCAGGGCACACAACTCCTAACTGCTGTGGTGTTTCACGTTGGCA